TTACTATTAATATAGATATAATAGTATTTGCTAAGATAATAAATATATTAATATAATATAGAGCTATAATATTTTATAATATTATAAATAACGCTTTTACGAATAATAGCGTTATAAATAAAGCTCTTACTAATATGTTTTACCGCTTTATTACTTACTTACTTACCCTCTTTTACTAGGAATAAGTTAAGCTAAGTATTAATAACTAATTATACTAAGATTTATTTATTTATTTTATTAAGATTAAATATAAGTTAAAGTACTATTATTAGGTTTTAGTATTATGAAAAAAGTATGAAGTGAATTATAATACTTACTTATATAGGTTAACTAAACTATTAATATCCTATTTATTAAAATATATACAATAAGTAAATAAACCTTTATACATATAACTTTTTATAAAACTATGTTAGTTTGAAATATAAGTTATATTTCTAAAATCTAGTCTTTTATAGTATTTATAAGTATTTATTTATATAAAAAGAAATAGAATATGTTTTAATAATTCTAGTTTATTATAACTCTATATAAACTAAATAAAGTTATATTAAATAATTTAATCTATAAAACTAATATTAATAAAATTAAAAGCTCTAAACATAATAACTTTCTTTTTACTAAAAAGAAAACTCTCTTTAAATTTACTTAGAAGTATTTACTTAAAATATCTAATAAGAGCGATATATTAGAGTTATATAGCCTTAAGATTAATATAGATATAGTTAAAGCTATTAATAATAATCTTAATACTTATAATTACTTTATAGGTTTTTTTTAAAATAGCTAAGGTAGCTTAATTAGTTAGTAAGTTAAGAAAGGTAAATATATTAAGAATATAGCTAATAATAGTAAGGCCTTTTATTAAAACTATATAATAAAGTAGAAGATATTATAGTATAGATATCTAAATAGTAGAGAAGAGGAAAATAAGTGAAGATTAAATATAGCGTAGAGATAGAGGTAGCTAGAAGAAGATAGTTAACTTAGCTTATTATAATATTGAGAGTTAGAGGAGCGTAGAGGTAAAAAAGATATCTAAGTCTAAACTGTTTATAGTTATATAACTTAAAGGTTATTAGTAGAGAGCGAGGGGATTAGTTTAGCTTTTATAGTTAATATTAGTTACATTTTATAATATAAAGCTAGTACACTTAATAAGTAGGATATTATTATATTATTTATATTTTAAAAAATATTAGATATAAATAACTATAAGTCTTTTTTAAGTTTATTTAAAGTAGTTTTTTAAGATTACTAATAAAAATAGTATAGTTTAGTTATATAGACTTAAAATCTATTAAGTAATAGTTAATTAATAATAATTATTAAACTTAGAAATATTTTATAATATTCTCTAAATTAACTAAGACATTTTTAAAGTTTAATAAGTTATAAAGACAATATTTTATATTAGAAGTATAATTAATAGTAATAAAGTTTTCTTTTTAAGGAATATAATAAAGTATAGCATACTATTTATTATAAAATAAAATTTTAAGTAATAAAGAGAATACAAAATAACTATTAATAAAATAAAATAAAATATAAATATAAATATAAATATTATTAAAAGAGAATATTAAATTAAGCTTATAATAATATTAAGAGTTAGAGGAGTATAAATTAAAGAATATTTAAGTAGTTATATTTTCTAACAGTTACTTATACAGGCTAAACAAATAAGTAGTAAAGTATTAAAATATATTTATAAGAATATTGCTTATAATATACTTAAAGCTTAATAATATTAAATTAATATTGGAAGATATAAACCTAATAATATAACTCTCTATTATTATAACTAAAAAGGTTTTTATAACTATAATATAAAACCTTAACTATTTAAATAAAACTTAAAACTTATTCTTTATACTCTTATATATATATATATATATATATATATATATATATATATATATAATAATAATAGTTATAATATCTTTCTCTTTTATTATATTTATAAATAAATAAAAAAAGATTATATTAAGTAACTTAATTAATAAAATAAGAAGTAATATAATTAAAAGTTTTAATTATATTAATTATCTCCATGTTACTTAAAAAGACTTTATTTAAATTTCTTAAAAGTGTTTATTTAAAATGATTAATAATTACAAAGTTTTAAAGTTATATAGTTTTAAGATTAATATAGAAATAGTTAAAATTACTAATAATAGTTTTACTACTTATAAATACTTTATAAACTTCTTAAAAATAACCAAAGTAGTTAAAAAATTTAAACATTAATAATTTAAGAACTATTAACTTAATAATAAGAGTATAGTTAATAGTAATAAAGTTTTTATTAAAACTATATAGTAGAGTAAAAAATATTATAATAGTATAATAATATAGAAGCTTTAAAGCCTTTATACTTACTAAAGTAGTATTAATATCTAAATAATAGAGAAGACTCTAATAGGAGATAAATATAAATTAATTATAATATAAAGATAGAAATAGCTAGAGAAAAATAAGTAAAGCTTATTAAAATAGTAAAAGCTTTGAAGAATTAATAGAAGAGTATAGAGGTAAAGGAGATATCTATATCTAAAAGTTATAAAACCTAAAAGGTTATAATATAAGAGAAAATAAAAGTTTAAAATTAAATAGCTATAAAATTTTATTTATTATTAATAAGAGTAAAGTAGAAAGTTATAATTCTTTTTATTACTTAAATCTTGCTATATTTTATAATAAGATTAAAGAGAAAAAGTCCTACATCTTAAAACCTACTTCTAGTGAGGCTGTTTATATTCTTTTCTAGATAGCTGAAACACTACTTGAATCCCTCTATATAGAATTCTATAGTGTCTAAGACTTTATAATCTCAGCTGTTACAGAACGTATAAAAAGACGGATGATACATCTCTCAGACGACTGCACTCCTTAATTCAATCGCATCTTGAACCTTCTTCTATCTTGCGCTACGACGATGACAGCAGTATCCAAGGAGATGCACACTCTTGAAGATGTTCCCGAGCAACACATTGCTATGGTGTACGACAAGCCCGGCACAATCTCCCTCGCTCGGCAAATCATACGCACGCCCGAGCCAGAGCATGGCCAGGTGCTGGTCCGAATGTAACTAGCCACCAGGCCGCCTTGCCTTCGCAAGTATCATGGCTAACCCCACGTCTTATCAGCACGCACTCCGGGATATGCCACTCGGATCATGGTGTGATGACACATGCTGTAAGTAACAATCTAAGCAGGTGATGCGGCTGCCATTCTTACGCTAATTTGCGACCTCGTAGTGGACGTGGTTGACTCGCCGAATAAGTCCGGGACAGGTCGGTGGTCACGAAGGGGTTGGTTACATCGCCAAACTCGGCGAGGGTGCGGAAAACAGTGGTCTGAAGCTGGGCGATCGCAAGTACTATCCTCACTTGTCACAAAAGTGAAGTGGCTAATTCTTGTCACAGGAGTTGGCATTAAGTGGGTGTCTTCTGCTTGCTTATCTTGTGCGCCATGCCTCGAAGGCGCCGATGGTTGCTGCCTGAACCTCAAGATCTCGGGTTATTACACTCCTGGGACTTTCCAGCAGTATACACTAGCCCCCGCTCAATACGTGACGCCCATCCCGGATACAGTCCCGTCCGCTGTTGCGGCGCCTCTTCTTTGCGGTGGAATCACTGCGCTGGCCGCAATGAAGAAGTTCGAAGCCCCAATCGGGAGCTGGCTACTTGTTGCTGGTGCCGGCGGAGGCGTTGGACATCTAGTGTGTCAAATTGCGGCTCGAGTATTCGGTCACCAAGTCTTGGGGGTTGACAAGCGATCCAAGGAAGCCTTTGTTCGGGAGTGCGGTGCAAGAGAGTACCTCCCGATCGAAGACTTTCAAGGATCCGTCCTCGTGGATGCCGTGAGAGATCGCACTAGTGGTCTTGGGGTTACGGCAGCCGTCGTGTGCACTGGAGATTTGGGGATGTATGCCGCGAGCCTAGAATGTCTCCGTTTCAACGGCACCATGGTAGTGGTAGGTGTGCAAGAGGGCCCTGAGCAGGCCATTCAGACGGCAACCCCCAACACTTTCCTTTTTCACCAACGACGCATTGTAGGGTCCTCAGTTGGTAATCGAAGGGATGCTATCGAGGTCATGAATTTGGCTGCTTGTGGTACAATCAAACCATCTTTTACGGAGAAATCCCTCTATGATTTGCCTCAAATTTTCCAACAAATGGAAGATGGACAGCTCCTAGGTAAAAACGTTGTCAGGATGCCTGGCAGTCCAGAATAGGCTTAGCTACGCATAACAGAATACGTATCGCATATATTCAATTACTCACATGACATGCTTTTCATGGGCCGCGGCAATTATCACTACCGATCGTGTGTCAGAGAAATAAATGGTGGAGTCGTTACTGGTTATCTGGAAATCGGAACAGACTTGTCCTAGCATGACGTCAAACGGCGGTTTTTTTTGATTCACGCCTTCCCCCCCCCCCCCCCCCCCCCCGGCCCAAGAAAAAAAAAAAAAAACAATTCGGTGAAGGCTATAAGAATGAGGTTTACTCGTGATTCCAAGCAAACATTGCATCCTCGCTGCTATCAACTATTATTTGTACCTTCATCCTTCTGCTGAAGCCGACATGACATACACCTCAATTACTATTATTGTAGCCCCTTACCACGTGGGCGTCTATGATCACCGTGTGGGAGGTGGTCCACTGCGCATCCTCTCCCACGGACTTGCCCGTGATCTCGAAACCTTGACACCGGTTTCCTTTATCAATATCGGCCCTGTTGACGAATTCGAGGGCGAAATCGGCAAAACCTTCGAGATTCTTAGACGAATTTCAGCATCCGTCTCTGAGGCAAAAAAAAAGAACGCATTTCCGCTAGTCCTGTCTGGCAACTGTTATGCAAGCACAGCAACCATTGCTGGCCTCAACCAATCCATGTCAGCTGAAGACCGTTCGAAGATTGGAGTGTTGTGGCTCGACGCTCATGACGACTTGGATACCCCCTCGACCCATGAAAATGGCTATCTCGATGCAATGGCAGCTTCAATGTTGACTGGTACCAGTTGGCACACGTTGATGCAAACTGTACCTGGGCATGCTCCCTTGGACGTCCGGAAGGTGGTTTACTGTGGTTTACGAGACGTATCCAAACTGCAGAACGAGACCGTTCAGAAGTCCGGGGTCGACGTGGTGTGGGGCAGCGCAGCTGACAAGGTTGACTTCACTGGCGGTCTTGCTGCAATCCTAGATCGGAGGAGTGATATCCAGGATGCTCACATCCATTTGGATTTGGATGTACTTGATGAGTCTCTGGGTCGGGTGAACGAGTTTCCATCCCCGGGCGGCTACTTTCCCGAGGATCTGATGGGATTGATGGATATGATACCTGCTAAGGTCAATCCCACGTCGCTTGTTGTCTGTTCATTCAATCCTCGCTTAGAAGGAGGTGATTCGGTTGCGCGTCTTGCCTGTCAAGCAATTCAGAAGCTTGTCAGTGGTCTTAAGCAAAGAGGAATTCTCAACCCATCGCAAAATCCCACAGAATTAATGGAGTAGATATAACTTAACTAAACTAAGTTATCTATAAAGTTCGCTAAAACTATAGCTTTTTAGCCCTGTTAACGTCTACTTAATTACTTTTGTAGTTCTTAGTATATAACAGAGAATGGAAAAAATACAATATAAATTAAATACAATATATGTATTTAAAAATACATGTATTTAGAGGGATAAATACAATACATATATTGTATTTATGTATTTTGTATTGTGTTTTTGTATTTAATTTAATAATATTATAAATATATTAGATTATAATATTAAACTTAATTTTAATTAATATTAATATCTAATATTAATAATTAATAATAATAACTTATAATAATAACTTATAATAATAACTTATTATATATTAATATTAGTTATTAATATTTCTAGTTAATACTAAAAAGTAATATTAATAGCTAATATTATCCTTTTTTAATATTAAACTAATATTAATAAGTAAACTTAATAGCTAATAAAACTAATATTAATAATTAATATTAAAATATATTTCAAGTAATTACTAATATTACTACTAAGTATTATAGCTTATAATTAATAGCTATAAATTAAAGTCAATAAGCTAATAAGTTATAACTATATAATAATAATAATAATAATAAGTATTAGTAAATATTAAAAATAATATAGTTTATCATAATATTTCTTATTATAATATAAAGTATTATATGTATTTTTCTTATTATATATTTAGCTTTAAGCTTAATAATATATTTTTATATAATAATAGTAACTAATATAATTTATATAAACTATATAAGTAGTATAAATAGTATAGTTAATATAGTTAATATAGTTAGTAACTTAGTATAGTTAGTATAGTTTAATTTAGTATATATAATTAAAAATAAGTATATTCTATTAAATCTAATAAATTCTATTTAAATACAAAAATATAATACAAAATACAAAATATAACAACTATATATATTTTGTATTTTAAATATAATACGTAAATTTTATGAATTCCATAAAATATAATACAATACTTATATTATATTTAGTATTGTATTTTTGTATTATATATTGTATTTTTGTATTATATATTGTATTTTTGTATTATATATTGTATTTTTGTATTATATATTGTATCTTTGTATTAGATATTGTATTTTTGTATTGTATTGTATTTTGTATTTTTTTGATAAGCTCTGGTATATAAGAAAGGGTTTAGTTTTAATTACTTAGTATTTTTAACTTAATTTAATATTAAAGTCTTTCTCCTCTATTTTTATAAAATTTTGTTAAGCTGTATTTCTAATAGTATAAGCTTAATATATATTATAATATAAGTATAAGTATATTTAGAGGTGTAGTATATAGTTATAATAGTAAATTATATCTAAAACATATAAAGAAGTAAGAGAAATAATAACTTAAAATATATATTAGTAAGTATTTAATTATATAATAGAAATATACAATAAGAAAAACTATCTTATTATAATTATAGTTATAGTTTATAGTAATTTAATTTCTTTTATATTAAGTTTCATATATTAATGTCTATTAATTTATATTATATAGAATGTTTAAATATGTAGTATATTAATGTTATATTAATATTATTATAAAAGATATGATATATTTATAATAAATATATATAGTTTAAATATTTATACTGTTTTATTATTAAAGTTATAATTATAATATATTCTCTTATAAAATAACTAAAATACTACTTACTATAATAATATAGTATTATATTTTATTTATAATTATAATATATAGTATGCTTTATTATAAACTTTAATATTAGTATTATATTATATGTTATTACTATAATAGTTTATATTAAAGAAGTTTTAAGCCTATTTAATTTTATAATAGAGAAAAAAGTATTAAAAGCATTTTAGGTAGTATTTAGTTTAATATCTTTGTAGTATATTTTTTTTTAAAGTTTTAAGATAACTATTTATATTAAGTATTATTAATATATAATATTCTTTTATAATAATAATAATAATATAAAAATAATAATAAGCTTAACTTACTTTAATATTCCATATAAAATAACCTAATAAAGTTTACAATATAAAACTTCATACAAAAATACTATATTTTATAAAGATATTTAACGGCTATAAGCTATAATTAAGTTAAACTAATAAAAAAAGTACTAAAAAAGCAAATATAGTGTTACTATATTATGTTTATTTACTTTTTCTAAAATGTCTTTTTTTAATTTTGTAATAAGTACTTATTAAGTTTTTTTTATAGAAAGTTCTATATTTTATTTCTATAAATTTCTTTATTTTTTTAGTTTAGTTTAATTAAACTATTTTTAAACGTTTTAGTTTAAATAGCTAAGGTTTTATAATTATTTTCTTTTTAATTATAGTAATCTTTATTATGAAATAGAATTAATAATAAAATAAAGCCTCTATTATTTATAATAAGTTTTTATTATTATTATTATTATTATTATAATAAATTATTTGTATTATCTATATAATAGTTATCTATTATATATTAGCTAAAAGCTTTTTTATTTATTATTATTCTAAAATTGAAAACCTTATTTTAAGTTTTTTTAAAGAGGTGTTTTCTATTTCTTGAAAAAATAAGTTATTTTTTATAAATCTTATACTTTATATTTTTAAATATTCTATCTTCCATTTAATAAAACTTTTCTAAATAGTAGCTTTATAGTAATTCTACTTCTTTTTATTTTATCCTTTTTAAAATAAATATATTATAAAACTATTTAGGAAGTTAAATAATAACTATTAGTATTAATTTATTATATTCATTGTTTTACTTTTAATACTATGTATCATAGTAAATTATTATTATTGTAGTATTATAAATCACAGTTATGTTTATAATCATTTAATAATATTTTATATTTATTTATAAAATAATATTTCTTTTGATTTTAAAGTTAGTTTATTCTCTTTCTTTTATTATATTATCTTATAATAGCTTTTATATTTTATAAATTCTTATTAAATATTTATCACACTGCTTTTTAATATTAGTTCTATATTTATTATTATTATATATTAAAACTTTAATAATTTATATTTTATTATTATATAAATTTAATAATTTAATAAGAAAGAATAATATCTATTAATATAAGCAATTAAATAATGATAAGTGTTATATTTTATATATTTTATAGCTTTATTCAACGATTTAAAAAAATATATATTTATATAATTATAAATGATACTTTTTACTAAATATATTATTTATATTATATTAAATACTGTAGAATTGTAAGGGGCTGGCCCCTAGGCTTGTTCAACGTAGAGGTGCTGTCGATTAACTATTCTAAGCTGAAGAAGGAGGAAAGGACTTTACAGGGATAGGCGCCTAGCAGCAGTGATACAGACTGGGGCTAGGCGGTGTGCTACAGCAGAATAGTGGATCCAGCGGAGCCGGATCTCGGTAGCTGCTCCGGCAAAGCCGGAGATCTCGGCCGGGCTCTAGCCCGTTACAAGAATAAATATTTAGTAACTTTTTATTCAAATAATAAATTAATTAATTATATAACTAAATCTTTAATTACTTTATTAATAGTATTTATCTATATTAGAACTAAATTAAATATTATATTACTTATATTAAAGTTAATAATTATTACTAATATATCAGTAGTCTAGTTAACCTATTTAAATAGGTATTATAGTTCACTTTATACTTCTTTTTCTATAGTACTAAAACCTAATACTAGCACTTTAACCTATACCTAATCTTAATAAAGCAAATAAATAAATCTCAATATAACTAGTTATTAACACTTAGCTTAACTTATCCTTAGTAGAAGAAAGTAAGTAGGTAGGCAGTAAAGTAGCAAAACATACTAGTGAGAACGTTATTTGCAACACTATTATTCATAGAGGTATTAACTATCTATAATATGAAACGCTAATAATACTTATAGTAAAAACTTAGTAATAGCTTAAACCTATATTTAAAGGTGTAAACTTAATAGTATAACTCTTTATATAGCTTAAAAGGTTTTTATAGCTATAATATAAAAACTTAACTATTTAAATAAAGCCTTAAACTTATTCCTTATATCCTCTTATACGTATAGCAACTATAACAACTTTCCTATTTTTCCTATTTATTATAACTCTATATAAGCTAAATAAAGCTATACTAGATAACTTAATCTATAAAACTAACGTTAATAAAATTAAAAGTTCTAAGTATAATAATTTTCTTTTTAATAAGAAAAGAACTCTCTTTAAATTCACTTAAAAATATCTACTTAAAATAGCTAATAAGAGCGATATATTGGAGTTATATAACCTTAAGATTAATATAGATATAGTTAAAGCTATTAATAATAATCTTAATACCTATAATTACTTTATAAGCTTCTTTAAAATAGCTAAAGTAGCCTAATTAGTTAGTAAGTTAGGAAGGGTGAATATATTAAGAGTATAGCTAATAGCGGTAAAGCTATTAAGACTGCGCAGTAGGGTGGAAGATGTTATATAGCGTGATGGTATAGAGGCTTTAGGGCTACTATGCCTGGTGGAGCTTATAGCGGAGACGTCTGAACGGCAAAGGAAATAACAGAAGATAGGCGCAGATTGAACATAGCGTGGGAGATAAAGGAGACTGATGGAGATAGAGGTAGCTAGAGGAAGACAGTTAAGGCTTATTATAATGTTTGAAGTTAAGATGTCTAAGTCTAAAGGTTATATGACCTAAAGGTTATTAGTAGAGGGTGAGGGGACTAGTGTAGCTTTTGCAGTTAATACTAGTTAAATTTCATAATATAAAGCTAGTAGCCTTTAATTATTCCTTATATAAAATCTATTATATATATATTATAATTATTAATAATTAAGTATTTCTCTTCATATTTTATAAATAGTTAATGACTTTTATTAAACTTTAATTTAATTTTAAATAATATAATAATTACTTATTATAAGTAAATACTAAAGAAACTACTATTAATTATATTTAAATATTTTTAAAGATTTAATTTAAAATATATAATCTTCCATATATTATATCTCTTT